CATCACTACAACTAGGTACCTGACGTACACGAATTAAATAATATATTAAATATTTGTCTTTATTGCTTTTTCAAGTTTTAAAAATTGAATTAATAGAATATCTGAATAATTTTGCATTATTGTGTTGTGTTAGGTACCTACAAGTATTTTAAATGATTGTTCTATTAAATTAAGAATAATTTACTATTTTAAATAACCAATTTTATTTTATCTTTATCGAAAGTATGCAACCGTTTATACGAACATTCTACAATCTGTAAAAGTATTCGGTGTAATTTTTAATGACATTTTTTACATGAAGAGTCCATATCAAATGTTATTCAATTCAATGAATTATTATTAACTTTTTCACTGCCATCCCAGTTACCCCGAAATACTTTAGGGAAACAGTGATATTTCCTATAAAATAATTGTGAAAGAGAAATGTACGTCTAATAACTAATTCTTGTTATACTAAAAACTAAAATATATAAAATTGTATCGATGGCCTGTCTTTACATGCCACTCTGCTTGAGATTCATTCACAGAAAAATATTGATCTACGTTTCTCACTCTCAATGTCATAAGAGGAAATATGCCGACCATTTTGTTATTCCAAGTTATAGGTTTAACTGAATTAAAGAAAAATTCGTTAAATCAGTTTATTTTGCCAGCCAATATAAAAATGTTGAATGTTCCTAGCTTAAAGAACAAATAAAGCCATTTTACTAACATTCTATTTTCTAAATACTTCTGATATAGGCACATACTTTGATAACCTTTGTCCTGTTTACTTCATTGCCAGTTCCAAGGGGTTATATATTGGGCTCGTGAGGTTTTAGTGGATTCTGATAAAGAGTTGAAGGGTAATGGGATTATTGAGTCTTACTATCAGGATTCCAGTGTTTGGTATTGAATGGGTGTAAGACCCTGGAGTAAAAAATCCTGACCCGTAGAGTCAAACTGTAAGTCAGATTCAGTTTTAGTGGGCGCAAATACAAAGATGGCCAGAAGTACGGAATAAAATTTATATCTTGAATGTTAATTTTTTTAAAAACGCCGGAACACGTTAACTGATTTTGAATTTTTCCCATCTTTCGGTTATATAATAATTAATTTTTCTTCAACACCCTAACCCCCAGCTACCCCTACTTTTTTTTTCAAATGGAAACATAAGGCATGAGTGGGCTCGTTGAAAAGCTTATAGAAAACCGAATCCAGCCATACCAAATAAACAAGTTTTATTTTTTCAATAGCAAGGTTTTTAGGGTTGTATAAAACACCTACTTAACAAGTGAAATAAAATTTAATTATCTTCAGTGTTATCCTCCATGAATTTGCACAGAATAAAATAAAGAATTTGAAAGTGTACCTATCGCTGCTAACGCAAAAAAAGATATATTTTTTATGTTGCATTTTTTGGCACCAATTACTTGCCAGGCTTTCTGGTTAATTTTTCGCTTTAGTTGTTAATTGGAGTTCGAAACGTTACTATTGTGTCAAAATTTATTTATTTACTGCATTGTAATGGTATTGTCGGAAAGGCAACGCATCGAAATCTTGATATTGCTTGAATGTGGAGACAAAATAAGACGTCAGGCTGAAGTGCGCGATTTATTTAATGCGAAATATCCCGAAAACCAAATCTCGCAAGGGACAGTTAGTAAAATATTTCACAAATTTGAGAACACGGTACAGTACAGACTGCCCAAAACTGGACGGGCACGTGCTTTGAATGAAGAAAAGAAATTAGACATTGCATTAGAACTTATTGAAAATCCTCATACTTCAACTGTTTCATTGGCCCTCAATCACGATGCTTCTCGAACTGCAATTCGAATGTTTCTGAAACAAGAGAAATACCACCCCTATAAGGTATGTCTTGTCCAAGAGCTTTTGGAAGACGGTTATGATAGGCGATTACAATTTTGTAAGGAAATGATGAGACGGTGTGACGACAATAATAGTTTTCAACGAGACGTACTTTTTTTGGATGAAGCTATGTTTTATTTAAATGGAGTGGTTAACAGGCACAACTATCGCTTTTGGTCCCAGGAAAATCCACACTGGACATGCGAATCGCATACGCAGCATCCACAAAAAGTTAATGTATGGGCAGGTATCATCAAGAACAGAATCTTGGGCCCATTCTTTTTGAAGAAAATCTTACTGCCGCACGCTACCTGGATTTCCTAACATTTGACCTGATACCTGCTCTAGCCGTGATTTTCCCTCATGAAATTAATCCAGATATACCGAATGAAAAAATTTGGTTCCAACAAGATGGCGCTCCCCGACATTTTGGTATTGATGTTCGAAGATACTTAGATGAAATGTTTCCAAATTGCTGGATTGGTAGACGGGGTACAGTTGAATGGCCGCCAAGATCCCCCGACCTAACACCCCTGGATTATTTTCTTTGGGAATATTTGAAAAAAAGAGTCTACCAGACAGACCGGATAATATGGATAATTTAAAGAAAATTAAGGCGGAGATGCATAATTTACCAACTGAAGTCATTCAGAATGCTGTGAACAGCTTTTACTATCGCCTTGGAGAATGCCAAATAGTGACAGGAGGACATTTTCAGCATTTGCGACATTGAGTTTATTTTTGTAAATTATTTAGTTGTTTCAATTTGTAAATGAACAAAAATAAAATTTTTATTGAAAAAATAAAACTTGTTTATTTGGTATGGCTGGATTCGGTTTTCTATAAGCTTTTCAACGAGCCCCCTAATTCCGTACTTCTGGCCATCCCTGTATGTAAAAAGAAACATGATATGTTTTATGATTTCTTTTATCTTTATGGGCCTGTGTAATATTTCAGAGCCAAAATGATTTTTTATTTTAAATAGTACCTAAGTACTGTATACATTTTTGATTTTTAAATCTTCGAAACTTTTTTTTTATTATTCGAAGAAAATGTATCAATTATAATGTTATAATAAATCATAATGTATACACTATGATGTAATACAGCCAATTTTCCTCTTATAGTTCAGCTGTTTTACACAAAATACTAGATTAAAGAACTGTAGTTAAAACATGTAGAAGGATACTGTTATGATCTAGCATTGGGGTCTCCAAAGATACAAGTGTAAAAACTTATTCTTTATTATACCTATGATACACCAGGAAAATTAGCGAAAATAAAAGAGAAACTCGAAAAAAGTCCTATCTACGAGATTATTGTAAAATTGTCTAAAGGAACATAACATGAGTCAAAAACTTTTATTAGCTAACTTTTCTATTTAAACAAATAAGTGAGGAAAACAGTTTTTTCACTTTGCAGGGAAAACCATCAATTTTAGCGAAAAGTGACTCGCAGACAGCTTGTAGGGAGTAAAATTATCTACAAAATGAGACTTGTTAAATTAAAATCGGTTATTAAACAAAAGAGTTATTGCAAAAAAAAACAAGAAAAGTTCCCATTTTTATAATTTTTTTATAACTATCGCATTTATTGTTAAAACTTTATAAGTTGAGGGTTTTGTGGTACTTTAAATGTGTGCCAAAACTAGGCGCTGTAGGTGCAATAGTTTTCGCACAATTCAATTTGTTTATAACGGAGGCTCCAAAAGTTATGAATTTTAAGCCTCTGTACAGGCGTTAATTTTCAACCAAACATGAATCTGAAAGCGTCATTGTAATCTTAAAGACGTAATTATACCTATTAACTTTCTCAAATTGTGCATTAAAAAACGTGCATTTTTCGCTTATAAACAATTTGAATAAAATTGTTGCTATTTGTGCTACCTCGCCGAAAATAGATACAATGGATATCTGTCAAAAAAATACAATTTTGTTTTTAAAAGCACCCTCTACGACCAACAGGAGCCAAGATAAGATTTAAAAAAAAAGAAATCGCAATTGTTTATAAATATTGAGACTTGAATTTTTCGCAAAATAAAGTTTACGACGTAAACTACGATTTCCCGTGAATTGCATTTTGCAATATCTCGGCTTCTATTCCTCGTAGAAACTTATTTTTTTTTAAAAACTGAGGTAGCTCGACGAAAAAATAACAATCGGCATATTTACGAATTCGTAGAATAGCCCTGAATCCCAGAAAAAATGCATCTTTTATACTTATTTTTTTTTTTAATTTACAAAAATTATTCGTAAACGAAATACCTGTATTAATTAAAATTTTTCAATATCGGAATTATTTTACTATTATTAAATAAATAAATGAAGCTATCGTTCATTTAAAAAGTATTTTTTTCCATATTAAAGCAAAGTAAACTTGTTTTTTCAATATTTTGTTAGCTATTTAATTACGATTTAGGTAAATGTAAAATTAAAGTAAAACTTCATAAATAATTTTCAAACTAATATTTCTCATAAAAATAGAAAAAATTTTAAATTTTAAATTGTTGTATTAGATTGTATTATATCTATTATTGAAAATGGTTGTGATTAATATTTTTTGAATAAATTTTGATTATGTTGCAAAAATCCTTTTGTATAGAATTAGTAATAAATATAATAAAAAAACTTTATATATTAAAATTTCAAGAAGTTAAAACTGCAATTTTATAGACCGCATTGTTTTTATTAATATTTTTTAATTTTGAGAATTTTGCAATAAATTCAAATGCTTTTTATTCTTTTTTAAATAAATAATAATAATTTGAAAATAATTTTTACTTTTATTTTACATTATTTGAATTCAGTTACTAAAATATCATATTGCAAATTAAAAAAGCCTCATTTTTATAGGTCTCGATAAAGAAAAAAATTACTTTGACTTCGTTTGATTTTTTTTTTTAAATAAGTATATTTTTTTAAGTTGTATGTATTAGTTTAATACCTTAAAAAAGAGTAAAAACGTGCGAGAGCTAATGTTACAATATATGTACTTTGAAACAGTTAGTTACTGATTACTTAAATTCGCATTTTTGCATTCTTTAGTTTTTCACAGAAAGCAATGAATAGAAGAAACATAGTTCGGGTTAACAAAATGCATTGCAAATTAATTTTCTGTAATGTATTGAATATATGTTTTAACAAGAGGGGTATAAATTAATTCATTTAATATTATATTACATAAAATATATTTAGTTACATCAACCAAAAAATAGGTATACTTTAACATGAACAGTACTAAAAATAAATAAATATGTTATGTACTTTATTTGGCATTGAGAAAATTTGGTTCAAACCTTCTTCGTATTGAAAATGTAATATTAATACAATTTGTAATGGATATTTCCTTACGTGCCATTTGAGGATTTTGTGCAAAATATAAACACAGTGCTGAGAAAACCATACAATAAATAAAACACCCACAACCTTGAGCAAAAAATTGCAAAGAATTGAGATAAATTTTCAATATACACTAATATAGGTATAAATTGTTAAGTAAATAGAATATATTTTAAATACCTATTATGTAAACTTATTTATAAGTAGTAAATGTATGAGCACTATTTTTAAATTTTATGTCTTCAGAGTCATTGAATTCTTGGTAAATAATTACAGAATAATCACGATGGCGAGATTTCCAGAAAGAATGTAAAATAGTGAACAGGACTAGTTCTCTATGGTATTTACAACATATCTATTGATTTTATTAATAATTTACTTTTTGAAACGGAAATTATCAAAATCAAAATCTTTCCAAAAGTTTCGCGAATTAAACGAATCATCGTGATCATCTGTAAAACTATCACCTCCACCATGCCAATCTTCACCTCCATCCTTACTCCAAGCATCATCATCCCCATGGTTCCAACCGTCATCGTCCCCATGTGTCGTTCCAAGCCAGTCTTCTTTAATATAGTCTGCACCCTTCTCAGCTATCATCATAGTGGGTGCATTGGTATTAGATCTAGTTATCGCAGGCATAATAGAGGCGTCTATCACTCTTAACCCTATAATTCCATGAACCCTCAGTCTTGGATCGACCACTGCTGTGGGATCCTTTTTAGGGCCCATTTTACAGGTACCAACAGGGTGATAAAGAGTTGTGGTATACTCAATGCACAGGCAGCGCCAGTATTCGTTCGTTCCAAACTTAAAGTGGTTGCAAGCTGGAAGGGGGGTGGTAACCAATCTCGCTCCAATATTCTTCATGGCTGGAGTATCAGCAATCTGGACCATCCTCTGAATTGCTTCAACCATTATGCCCAGATCATCTTCATCGAAGAACGTGTTGGCGTAAATCAGGGGATTTCCAAACACTGGATGTGTCTGATTTAGTAAAATGTAGCCCCTACTTCTGGGACCTAAAATGATGGGTCTCAGAAGCATGCCGTCGTAGAAGGCTAGAGCACGTTGGCTAGACTCCCAGAATAGTACAGGATCGCTGTAATAATCGCTTAAGATTATAGATTCAGCTGTAAATTGCATGTCAGGCCTGTCTTCGTCGTGCTCAAAGCTTGTCTTCATGTATAGGTTCATTTGAAGACCTGCGGTGCTGGCTAGGGGTCCTCTATGCGTTTTGTAGAATCTGTATGTGTCACTGACTCTTTGTTCATCTGAAACTAGAGTGGAAGTTAAGTTGCTCAATCCAATGACAGGTCCGTCGACCGTAGTGTGGTCGTGAAGATTACGCCCAACGGGCAGGTCTTGTATCACTTCTATACCCAAATCATTGAGATGACGAGCAGGACCAACACCACTCAACATCAAAATTTTTGGTGAAGATAGGGCACCCGATGATACAATAACTTCTTTCCTTGCAAAAGCCTTGTAATATCGACCGTTCTGAACGTATTCCACACCATAAGCTCTTTTGGTCTGAGGGTCTATGAGAACTCTTGTACCAAAGGCTTTAGTTTTTATTGTTAAGTTTTTCCTCTTGTTTCTAATCGGCCTTACGAAAGCAGCATTGGCGCTGAATCTCTGCCCGTCTTTGGTAAAGCACTGTAACAAACTGCCACCTAACTGTCTCCGACCGTTTTGGTCGAACAGTTCTATTCCCATGTCCCTCATGCCATCCAACAGGGCGAACATATTCCGGTCTTGAGTTGGGAAATGTTCGATATTCATTGGTCCGTCGGTTCCGTGGTATTCAGTGCCCACTTCTTCGATGTTTCTGTTGTGTTCAGACTTCTTAAAGTACGGCAACACGTCTTCGTAGCCCCATCCTTCATTTCCAAATCTCTGCTCCCACTCGTCGTAGTCCCTCGGACCTCCTCGGAGGTAGATCATGTAGTTGATGGCGGATGAGCCGCCCATACCTCTTCCTCTGGGCCACCTGCAAGTGCCTCCGGGACGTGATCTGCAGGCAGTAGGCTGAGGCTGGGTTTGCAGGTTCCAATCGACGCTGGATTGCTGCAGCATGAACAACAGCGATGGGACGCTGGTAATGTCGGGTTCTTCATCTCCGCCTTCGATGGTTAGGATCTGAAAAATGTTTACGTTCATTACTCATGGTAACAGAAATTTCATCGAGTTGTAGGGGCAACATAATTGATGCCTGGTTGGGTATTTGTGTGTTACCAAAATGTCTTGGTAAGTTGGGTATGTTGTATGGTTATTGAGTTTACTAATATACCAAAATAATTGGTTATTGAATGTCACTAAAAAATTAAATTTTTTAAAAATAATCTAATATTTTTTAAAGTATGCAGAATTATTTTAATTTTATGACAGTGGTTTTATTTCACTAGGTAAGGTTCATACTTTTACCTTTTTAAAATACATTTTGATCCTACTTTTAATTGTGTAGGCTTGATTCTACCACAGAGAAAATAGCTATCGCCACAGACCGCTACTGGAATAGGCCAGCAGTTTTAAATTTCCGAATTGCCGCGGCCCGCATACCTACGTGTATCCTAGCAACATATAAACAAGACTTTGGTAATGTTGCCAGGCGTACTTACGGATTTCTTTTGTACAATTTTTTATCAATATCTATTTTTTGGTTACTGTATTTACTTAAATGTATGATGTAGGTATTGATAAAAATGTTTTTAAAGAATCAACGAATATCTATGTAGTTTCATATGATATTCTGCAGCGGTGTTACAATTAAGTTATTTAATCATAATTTCGTTAATTAGCTACGTACTATTTTCATTTTTTGGTATTGAAATGCAGAAAATATATTTCCAAATAAACAAAATTCGTAATGATGACAAGATGGGTTATTAGTACGTCGCGGAATGTAGGTATAGGTTTTTTTTTTTGAATTTTGACATCCACTGATAGCCTTAATAATTAAATATAGAAAGAAACTTTAAATATAAATGTACGACTTTTCCTTTATTTCATTTGACATCAAAATTTGCTGCCATAAAATATATATGTTTAAAATAAAAAAATCATTAAAAAAATTAAAATTCATCCTAATGAAAATAACAAACAACGACGTCTAAAGGACTGACAATGAAATCGGGGCTGTTTTCTGGCCACCTAAGGTCTCTAATAATATTTTTTAGTGTTCGTTAACGGGATTCTTCTTCCTAAATAAATTAGCCAATATTCCTGAAGAAATTTTGCACATTATTGTTATTTGAATAATACAGTTAATTATGTTTTATTTTTCGTCATCAGAATAAACCATTGTATTTTTTTTTTATTTTTTAAATTGAAATGGGTTATTCTAATAATGATAAATCCCATGTATTTTTAAAAGAAGGTTAGTTTCTGTCATTTTTGTCTGATTGTGTGCGAGAGAGATAAAGTTATAGTGTATTATAGTGTGCGATAGAGATAGAGTGACTCTGTCCTCATAGAGAGCCTCTCTCTCTCTCTCCCTATCTCTCTCTCTCTCTCTCTCTCTCTCTCTCTCTCTCTAGCTAAAAACCTTTTTTACAGTATTACAGGGCAATTTCAGGACACCTAGGGAGGGAGCGTCGGGTAGAACGCGTGACCTTTTTTAGCCTTCTTTAACGATCTATGATGTCACACAGTATAAGAAAAAAAATACGGTTTTTGCTCGTAACTCGGAAATGGCTGGAAATATAAACAAATTTACCCTTGGTTCTGAGCAGAGCACTCGGTGGGTGACGCAGAGCGGGATGTCACAATACATGAAAGAAAAAAAAACAGTATTTTCTTGGACTCTAAGTATCAAAAAATATCCCATGGTGAACGAGTGAAAAACATCAAAACCCGCATGTCAAGAAAATTTATTTAATGCTAATATTTTTCCACGTTAAGCCTGCATTTTCACTAAAATTGAAATATTTCACAAACAATAAGTCCTAGGTATGCAGAACCTTTAATAAAGTCCACCTATTTTTTACGGTACTTTCAAAAATGTAGTAAAATACAGAGTGATCCATTTAAAAATACATATCTTGGATATGGTACGATTTTCCTGGACACCTTGTATATTTCAAAATATTTTTAAAATGTAGCCGTAATCAACCTACACATACCCACCTAAACAGGTTTCTGTAACATTTGCCGTTTGGTCCCGAGGGGTTACTGGTGGCCCACCCTATAGAACAAAATGTTACGTTGCAAAAACTTAAGTAAATCAAAGCGTTTCTTCAACTAATTCGAAATTCCGGAAATGATAGGTATTCCAATTCAAACGTAACCTGATTTCCAGGATAGATAATTCGCAATAAAGAAATTTATATCTAACAGGTGTTTCTTGCAGAAGGAATTATTGTTTTTACTTTCTATGGAATAACATTCACAACAATACTATTTATACATCTTATTTAAACATGCTGACCACTAATAGCGTTTTATGAAAAATAACGTTGCCTTAAATAAGTTGTTCTATACTGAGTGCTTTGTTTCTAATAAAATTGAATGTTAGTGAAAAGCAATACAAGTTTTATCCTTATTTCAATAAACTTTTGGGCAATATGACGATAAATATGAGCATTCCTCTTGTTTGTATGTTTGTCTCTGTGTCTTAGAAAAATTTAAGGGACAGATTTGTTCGTATTATGTGCCTAATCCTATAAACACAGAGAGGGGTATGAAATTTTAAATATTTGCATATCTGAAAATAATTAGATGCTATATTAATTTAGAATTTCAAATAAATACATAGTTCATTTTTTATTTATTTGGATATTTTTTCCCCATGTTAAGAACAAAAAATTAATGAATAAATCCTTACTCCAAATGGATCGGTTGAGGGTTATTTTTTTAAAACAGTTTTGCCTATCCAAAAATTTCACTATACCCATATATTGCGTACTTCCATAAGTCGTAGACGTTGTGAAAATCAATTTGTTTCCGTTATCGGAATATCGAATGACACTTAGTTTGAATTAGTGTTAACGGTTTAAATCTATATATTTGTCCATTTCGTTTTCGCGTAAGGATTTAACTCAATAATCCTTAATATTTTAAATGGAACGCCCTAAGTATTATTGCATTTTCGGATTCTACGTGAAATTTGAAGGTCACTTTATTAAATATTCCCTATACATAGTAGTTATAGAATTTAAGATATTAATTGTTAAAAAAAAATGACAGATGCAATTTGACAATGTGCAAAGCAGCAAATTCTCTACATGTTGTACACATTTTTAGCATTACGTCAAGAGCGCCAGCAGGACGTCGCCGGACGCACCAGGGTTCCCGGAAGACGACCCCGGCAGTTTGGCGCCAAGGACCAGGTACTTCTGCGAGCGACTCCACACGAAGACGCACTCTCCAGCAAATATTCGAAACGACAACACCTCTTTTTCCACAAACAAATAAAAAAACTTTATTTGTACCGTTGAGAGAGCGTTTTATTTTTGCTGTACAACGAAAGCAACCCTCAATGTTTTTGAAATTTTGTCACATTTTCCATAAATAACAAACAAATTAAAATAAGCCTCATTAGTATAATTTAAACGATCCCCAGGCATTTTTATTTAAATTTTCGGTAAAAACTATTCAGACACAACAATAATTTGACAACTAACTTGACAAATGTTAAGCTATTTCAATTGTTTTTGGAGTACTTCTGGTCATGACCAATTTGACAACAGGCCTGATACGAGAAAAACTGCCAAAAAAAAGAAAATTGCAAATATCTCTAAAAGTAGTAACGGCAACCTTAACAATGCTTATGCGGTTTGAAAGGAAATTTCAATCTGTATACGACAGAGTAAAACACTACAGGGTGTTCCATTTAAATTAACAAAGTTATAGCTGTTTGTAGTTATCAAAATGTAACAGCAAAAATGAAACACCTAGTATTAAATGTTTTAATTTATTGGTATATCATGATTTAGTGTATGCCCTTTACAGGTACCAAAAATCCACTTGATATCATGGTCCTAAAAAGAATTACTAGCATCTCCGCAGACCCTTGCATCTGTCAATTTTTTTCTTTAAAAATTAATATCTTAAAAGCTATAACTCCTAGATAATAAAGTGACCTTCAAATTTCACGTAGAATCCGAAAATACAGTAATATATAGGGTGTCCCATTTAAAATAACAAAGTTGACGTCAACTTCCGGTACAACCGAAAGTGTTACAGGAACAAAATATATTTGAAAAGAGCACACCAAAAAATCCTAGTGTGCCAATTTTCAAAATTGAAATCGAAGTAGATTCTGAAATAATCTAACTGGACACTCACTGGAAGCCACCCGGTATACAGAGTAATTCGTTTAATGACGTTCATCATGGAAGTTTTTTTAACATTTAAAGCGATTGTTAACATTTTTGTTCTTACGGATACCATATTCAATTTTGCCTTTTCAGACAATCTTTTTTTACTATCTTTCGGAAATGTATTATTTTTTTTTTAATTTTAGGTGACATTTGGACAGAAATATAATTCTTGCTCGGTTGACAATGACCACTGGAGTAACAAGAATTCGAATACTGTCAGTGGATTTAAGGAATTAAATTGTAAGTGTTACATTGGGAAATTAATAAAACTTTTTTGGAGTTGAATCAACTCTGTACCTGTTACCGTTTCCGAGATATCCACGGTAAAAGAATCACCCTGTATACCGTTTTTTGTAAGTCACACATAAAGCTGACTATAACTGAAAAACATTAACTAATTATCTGTCAAACCATAAAGTAGGTATGTATTTTCCCAGAGACTAATTATTTTATATTGCGGTAAGTATTATTAATAGTTAATACAAAAAATAACCTTTGATTATGCTTGCCTATTAACAATTTATTATTTACATATACGCATATTTATGGCGTTACCATTTACAGTATTTATATACTTACAATTAGATATCGTATTGATATTACAATTACCTAAAATGGATTCAAATAAAATAGAATAAGGGAAAATAAAATAAATATATTTTTTTTGAGACAAAATAGTAATAATTTTTTTGTACACTTAAAATGTTAACTGTGTCACTTATGGACTCGATGAAATATACTCTGACCATATCATATTTCCTTTCCATTAAAATTACATATTACTGCTATGAAATATTAAGTTACATGAAATATAGTTAC